TGACCACATAACATCACAAAACCCTACAATAAAAACCCCTGACTACCGGGTATTTCTAACACGCCTAAACAATTAACAATAGCAAAATTTAAATACCAAATTCTTATGAAGAATCAACAAAAAAATTTAGTCATGACTACTGTATATGTTACCATAACAATCTGTTTTCTAACTTCACAATCATTAAATTGAATCTCCTATAAACTATACTCTAAAGCTGGATGTGTACAGGGTCAGCGTGTCCCAATACTGTATGTGAAATGTGTTTTCTACTTCACATAACACAATTCGTAATATCCGAAGAATGAATAGTATTAGATAAAATATAAGACAACGACACTAACCTGTAAGTACTTTATTGGTTACCCCCGCAGCTAAAGCTAGATAGTGAAGTATATGTCTGAAATTCGTCGTCTTTCCAGCTCCGGAGCGGCCCAAGAACACGATACTCTGGTCACGTCTGGTGGCTAGAAGGTCCCGGTAGGAAGCCTGAGCTGCCGAGTATATATGAGGTGGCATGTCCTCTAGCTTGCATCCCTTAAACATTTGAATCACCTGTAGAAAAAATGTATTTGATGATTAGAAATAATGAAGTGAATCATCTACAAATGTAAATGTAATAAAAAACTAAATTATGACATGAACATAATACTGTACAGTATAGACAGGAGTAAGAGTAAAAGCTATAAATGAAATACAAGGTAGTACCCCATTTCAGGATACAGTACAATAAACAGTACAGCAGATGATAATGTAATTTATATCACTAATTTTTACAACTAAACATGGGAAACAGCAAACAAAGTCTGATAACATCCAAAAATATATAAAATACTGTACTGCATTATCTGACCAAAATGTGATGAATTTGTCAAGAGACGGAAGATCCGAATACAGTTGATCAGTTGAAGAAATAGTTAAGGTCACTCACAGTACACTAACCATATGAAAACATGGTGTGAAGGAAGGTGACTCAGTACCAAGTTGTAATTTATAATATTTAATTAACAAGACACACTGGAAACACAAAGACGAGACCCAATAATTTTTGTTGCATGTGAAACTACTAATAATTAATTCAAAGGCAAGTACTGTACAGATTTCTGAGCACTTTAACAATGATTAATAATAATACTGTATAAATCCAAATGAGTAGAAGGCAACACAATAAGAAGTGGGGCGAGGCTGAGCCGCTGAGGGTCAGGCAAGGTAGGCTGGTGGAGAGAGGAGCGACGCCTCCCCGACACCATTCGTGCCCGGCCACCTGCCCTCCACACCTACAACCTCACACTCTTTTTGTGAACCCTCATATTATTACAATCCTTGTACACCATCTTTCTCTTATAATACACACACGTGCACTTATAAGACACTTAATCCTATATTAAAATTATGAGGATGGCCGGCCCAAGGGCCACCTAGGCGTGAATTTGTTTAAGGTGAAGAAGCTGTCGCCAACACAACAACCACACCCAAGTTAACAAGTTGCATGACCCAGTGTCAAGGAATAGTCTGAGAAGACCGGACAACTCACCAACTGCGATCCTCAAATCGATTAACATCCAGGATCCCAATTACTGCTGGGTAGACAGAAGCAAATGGCGTAAAGAAACTTGCCCATAGTTTCACTCTGCCCGGGGATCGAACCAGGGTTCGCTCGCTTGCGAGGCGAGCATGCTTATCATTACACCACAGGTCGACATTGAAATTGATACACCACAAACACACACACACTGCCTTCACCAAAATTCACAATCCTTTTGTTTAAACACAACACCTCAACCACTACTATCACCATCGTGTGTGCTGACTAACCAACTCTCAACAACCATCTGGTTTCGACTTGTACCTCAATAATCTTTTGGTTCTCGACCTGTACCTCAATAATATTTTGGTTTCTGCCACCACCTCAATCATCTTCTGGTCTCGACCTCTACCTTACTAATTAATCATTTGGTCTAACAATTACGTTTATCCCTCAATCGGTTCCCCCAAACGCCATGTACTAAATAAAAAAAAATAAAAAAATAAAAAATAAATAAGATAATAATAATAATACCGCAGAGTTCTCGGGTCCTTTCATCACCACTGAGACAAAACGGGCAACAGCTCCACAATATGGAGGTAAACGACTGCTTATCCCAGTCTTCAGGATCTTGTTGGATCCAAGCACTTAATTTTCATCGTAATTATTTTTTTATTTACTCAAGTTATAGCGTTAACAGGCAGGAAGCCCAGACGGACGGGTTAACGCATAAGGATAATATTTTCACATTCCCTGTCGTTTACCTCCAGTACGACGAAAATATATTTTGCCTATCACCAAAAGACTGCGTTTTCCAGCTTATTTCACCTGATGATTAAACACCCCTAACAATACCCGGAGGGGTTAGGTTGCCGGGGTGCCTAATCTTCCGGTGATTCGATTTAGAGACTGCTAAGCAACGTAAACAAACAAACTGACCAACTCGAGCACCATTATCTACAGGTTGAGCAGGGCGCTTTGTACCGTTTTGTTTGATGCAGGCAGGTGTGATGGAGGCATCAATCACACGTCACTCATACCAAAAACCTACCGCTGTTACCCTGGACGTGTCATTAATCACTGTGACAACCCGGGGGAGGAGGAGGATCAATTACGAGGCCTCTGCTGCCTTAAAAAGGACCCCTGTTTTAGATCTCCTGCAACTCCTCACAGGAATTTAAAACGAGATGGCGGGAGCAGGTTGTGGAAAGCTGCAGAGATGTTGGAGGAGGTTGGAGGGGGAGGAGGCTGGAGGAAGAGGAGGAGGAGGAAGGGGGTAATCCAGATGTCTCCCCAACAGATAGCTGAAGCCTTCTACCTATGACACACACTCAACAGAAACCACTTCAAGCAATGTTGCACTAAAGTACTACTTCAAACCATCGCCATGAAACAATAAAGTCAAATTAAAGAGGGTGAATTTCCTTAATACCTTTGGACTTTTAAGCTACCCTGACCTAATTTGGCGATGCTAGCAAATGCATATGATGTCGAGGCGCCATTATCACATTCCTGAGGGAGAACACCGATGTGGTCGTGAGATATGTGAGCCTTGGTAAGCGAAGCCCCTCCTAGCTGTCGTCTGCTGTAGCCTCCCTCACCTGGTTTATGGTAGTTAACTATCTTATTTTATTCACTGTCATCTGGTTACACCCCTGGCTGCTGTCATATCTGTTTACACCATTAGCTGTTGTCATGTGTCAGAGAGAGAGAGAGAGAAGTTCCCAGCATACATATTTACAATATGTACAGTGTACATATTTACAAAATTAGTACAAACAATAAACAAACTGCACACAAACTGTCTACCTGAGAAGTTTCACCAGTATAAAGAGGTGACACAAATCCACAACAACATCTTTAGCCAGAGACTTTAAGGCGAGTTAACATATCAGCATCATCTTGGCGTCTCTCGACAATTATATGTCCTCATTACCCAACCTGTCATATCCACTAATGTGATTCGTTTCATTATGCTCACTCAAGAGTAAGTTTATCACACGCAATTAATTCGTAACTCATTATCACATTTCTCTTCTGTTCTGCGTGGAGGAGTAACTATCTTCTAATGAATTATCTATTTATTTATATGCTACGGTTTTATATTTACATCTACTGAAAGACTTTAACGTTATCATCGTAAATTATGTCAACATCTTGTGTAGTTTCGTAACACCGAGTGAGCCACAATACAGAGAGGGAAGAAGCACCGTCTCAACCCAACAAAGGACAAACTCGCTGGAACATCTACGCCGGGTCAAGAAAACACGCGACCCCTTGCGAAAGATGCCGCTACACGCTGTCTAGTGAGGGAGGGTGCGGTCCTATTGTCCTGTCCACGTTGTCTCTTCCAGCCGCACATCACCCACACTACTACACCTCCGCACATCACCCACACTACTACACCTCCGCACATCACCCACACTACTACACCTACGCACATCACCCACACTACTACACCTCCATACATCACCCACACTACTACACCTCCGCACATCACCCACACTATTACACCTACGCACATCACCCACACTACTACACCTACGCACATCACCCACACTACTACACCTCCGCACATCACCCACACTACTACACCTCCATACATCACCCACACTACTACACCTCCGCACATCACCCACACTACTACACCTCCGCACATCACCCACACTACTACACCTCCACACAACCCACACTAGTTCTCCACCACACCACCACCAACATTCCACTACCCTACTGTGGCTGCACCATCTCTGCAAAGTGCAAAAAGTGTTAATATTTACTACCCGGTTCGCTGTTAATTTCTTACTTTTTTTTTACCCCGAGTGACAGAGCCTTGTCAGGAGAGCCCCGGGGGCAGTATAGTCTGGCTCGAGGATCCTAAAACACACGCAGAATATTCAAGAAGCGTGAATCTGCGTCTTAAAACCAGCTGGAGGCCACAAGACATAACTCAGTGTACAGCTCCCACCTGGGGTCTGAAACCACTTTAAAAGATTAGAAGGTTTAAGTCTGGAGGAAATGAAGGCGAGTGAGGTAGGGTGAATGGCAGAGAGGGGAACCTTAGGCATTCTGGGTGTCTTGTAACCACGACCGCCCCCCTCCCCCTACCACACACTCCCTACTACTACCACTACTACTACTACTACCCACACACATACACGCCAACTGTATCACCCTACACAATGGCCTGAGTTAAAACTTAGTTCAGCCTTACATAATCTCGACCTCTTCAACCTCAAACAACTCGAATTTAAAATACACCGCAGGCTTCGTATCTACCTGAACAACAAGTGTATTTACGTATCATTCACTCTACACCAGACTAAACACACTCGGGGTGACTGGGAGGATGCAGACTTGCCCCGATGCCGGATATCCCCTCGGCAATGAAAGTTAGGCAAGAAATTCTCTCATTCATCCGCTCGAGTCTAGAGTTTCACGTCTTGCACAGATGGTTTGCTTCGCCCGAGTTAACCACGTTTGTGGGTTGTTCTTTTCAGGATGTGTTTTTCATCTTTCCCACACACACTTATTCTTCAGAGTACTAACAATAAACATAAATGAGATGAATAACTATAGTCGTTTTCTTTAAGTACAGTTAAATAACACTTAATAAAAGAAAGAACTTGAGGTACAGCTGTCTCCTGGGTGGGCCTTCCACCCCCTTCCTCCCACCATTATGACGTCATCACCAAAACACAACCTTCTACCCGTGACGCAACGACCGATAACCCTTATATTTCCGTGACTTCCATCAATTATGTCTTCAGGTATAATTTAGTGTGGGTGATATATATAGGTGGTGGTGGAGAAAGGGGGAATGAGATAGGCCCCTGTGACCTGTGGTGAGGTGGTGGGCCAGGTATTTATTGTACACCTCATCCTATGAGCGGTAGTGCAAAAAGTATCACAGAGTAGAGGTCATAAATGGTGTTCATCAGACCCCGATGGACAGAATATTGTAGCGTGGAATGTTAGAGATTTCCAGTACACTGTTTGCTTACTTAAGTGTATAGAAGTTGACTTAGCT